GGAGGAAGCTTCCCCGGGCGGTGGCCCCGCGGCTCGGCGGGGCGGGGGAGATGCGGCTCCGGAGTCGTCAGCGCGGCTGCGGAATCCTCAGCCGCTGCGCGTTCTGGCAGCGCGGGGCTAGGACGCGGGGGTGCGGAGGGCAGCATCCGGGTGCCCCGCCGAGCCTGCGATCGCCGCCAGCGTCCCGCCATCCCGCGATGGCCTAGGGCGGCCCGAAGCCCAGGGGACACCTGCCGGCCCCTCTCCAGCTCCGCGGATCCCAGCTCAGGCGGGAGGGCAGTGGGTCCCTGCAGGGCCCGGGGAGCCCAGGAGCCGCCCTCTGGCATCAGTCAGTCCCGGGGCAAACTGGAGCGCGGTAGACACTGGAGAGGCAGCGTCTAAGAGGGGACCGGGCGTCGCACAGTACCGACGGCTAGCGGGGAGGAAGGAACGGGTTGCCACCCCTTCCCCAGAAGGCCGGCAGTAAGCAGCCCAGGGCCTCTTCAGGCATTTTTGAAACTGGATTAACTGGGGCGGGGCGGGGGGGGGGGGTGGATTGTGGCACTGAAGTCATCGTGTCTATTGCGCTGTGTGGAAACTCCGGTAAAACTCTTTAAGCAACTATCTTAGCATCAGCTCTTCCATGTGTGCAGCCTTTCTGGGCCTGTCCCTGTCCTGGACCCCCCACCCCCACCTCCAGCTGGCAAAGCAGGTCCAGGCACTGTGAGGACCCTGGCAGTGAAGGAGGCCAGATCCTTACAACACAGCGAGAAGAACCCAGACCTGCGTGTGGGGGAGCTCTGGGTGCTCTAGGGACTCAAGGAGAGGTGGCGGGGCCTTCCAGGCAGATCCCTGGACTGCTAGGACTAGACGCTCAGATGGACAGGAGGAAGGCTGTGGGGATGAGGGAGCTGGGGTGGGTGAGGGAAGGTGGGGAAAGCACTAGCCCACCCAGTGTGGGAGGGGTAGAAGAGAAGCCCGCAGGGGCCTCGATCCTGACTGGCGATGGGGAGACCTGTTGCTACTTATTTTGTGCACAGTAGGGAGATCTCTGAAGAAAATATCTTCCCTCCCAGCCCCACCCTTCAATAGTAAACTAGATGGTCCGCCCGGTGCTCCCAGGGGAATGACCCAGTGCTCTCTGAGGAGAAGGGTGGGCTCCAGGGGGATGGAGAGAGGGCTGGGGGCCCAGGGAGAAAGGGAACATAGTCAAATTTCTGTAAAAAAGGGCCACCAGAGTCAGGCTGGGGTGTGGGATGGGACGGGGACTCTGCAGAGTCTAACAATCTAACCGGATGCCGCACCCAGCCACAGCTTTTGGGATGCGAGGATAACCCTGGTGACCCAGGATGGAGGCTGGAGTCTCCTCACTAGCTCTTCCTCTCTCTGGTTTCTCACCACCTGTTCCCATCTCACGGGTTTCATCAACACGTGGGCATTTGGGGCCCCAAATGTAAAGGATGCCCAGGCACAAAATCTTCCTCTGTACCCTGAGGTGAGAGGTTCCATACCCTCCATGCATGCAACAACCCCGGGCCCAGGGGATCGCTGCTGGGCCCCAGCCTCCTGTCCTTGGAAATCTGCAGCGCAAAAGGGTCACCTGTTCATAGCCTGGATAAGCCTCTCCTGAACGTGGAGGCCTGCTGCCTCCTCCCACCGAGGGTCTGCTGTAGCCCTCCAGTCCAGTCGGGGTTTCTGGTTCACATCGTAACCCAATGGACTTGCCAGCCAGCCAGAGACACCCCTGCAGGAACTCCCTGACCTGTTTACCTGATCCTCCACTCTCAGGATTCATCACAACTTGTGGAAGGGGGTGGCCTCCAGTAGGGTGGACCACTCCATCAAAGCCAGTGTGTGTCTGGCACCTCCTAGGGTGGGGTGCAGGGAAGGGAGGTGTGCCCTAGAAGCCTCAGGCACTTGGGATCTGATGGGCTGGAGGCCGAAGACCACCCCTGCCATGGCCCCAATTGTCAGTATCTTCATCTGTAAAATGGGAACAACGTGCCTTCCTCCTAACCCCAAAGGGGCTGCTGTGAAGATTGGCTGAGATAGCTGTTTGCAAGCTGAGCTCAGTGAAAGTTCACTGCGCCCCCTTCAGTCCTATCCCAGTATATACCCACTGCGAGGTGGAGGGCAGCTTAACTTCAAGGGCACTTCAAGGATAGCCAGGCGGCTGTCAACCCAGCTTTCCAGACGGGATCGGGATCCTGACAGAGAGGTTGATGGGAGGGGCGGTCGCTGGTTTGGGCTTTGTTAGGTTGCTTTTTTGTTTGTTGCTCTTTAGTTTCCGTGGGGCAGCCCCCTTCCCTGCAAGCTTCAGGCCTTCCTCTGTAATGCTCCTGGAGCCCAGCCTCTGCTGGCACCGAGCTTAAACCAAGCCAGCTCAGGGGATCCTGGATTCACACTGCCTCACTGTGAAGACAAAAATTACAAGGGGAGGGCGTCATTTGGTTCTTACACTCGAAATCTCCCAGCAGACACCTTGGAAGCCACAGGTAGCTTCTAGAAACCCATTTTATTAATGAGAACCTGAGGTGGAGAAAGGACAACTGGAGATCTCTACCTCTCTGAGGCCACACTCCCTGCCTGCGCCAGGCTCTCCCTGGACTCGGCCCTCTGCCGGCAGAATCTCGGCAAATGGCCGCAGCTCTCTGTGAGAGTCAGTTTCCCCGTCTGTAAAATTGGAGTCATGCCTTTCTCCTATGGCCAGTGAGACTAAATTAAATGATGTCTGTCAAGACACCCGAAACTCCTGGCACAATTTCGGTTGTCTTTAAGTGGTCACAGTTGTCATTAGATGGAAGTCGACAGCCCAGTCATTCTAAAGGCGCCCATATACTCCAAGATCCAGATTACAAACCTGATAGTTTATCATATACAGCGAGTAAACACATAACACACCTTTGCCTGCATTTACATGCATTTTACTGACCATGTTTTACACAAGTCCGCGTGCACATCTGCACGTTTGTGCATTCTGAAGTATTTACCAAACACCTGCCAAGGGCCAGGACCCATCCTCTGCACCCAGCGTGAACTGTCCTGGACCCGTCCCGGGAGCCGCGGTTCCCACCAGCCGCGCTGACCCTGGACGACTCTTGGAGCTGTGTTGTGAAAAAGACACACCATTTGCTTGCAGAGTTCTGACTTCTAAGGGGTCATGTCCCACACGTTTGGGAGCCAAACGCTGTTCTTCAGGAGCGATGGCTGCAATGCCTTTTTCTTTCCCTTCCTTTCCGGTGCCCGGAGCCTTGCCTCCCACCGCCACCCCTGGTTAGCTCTGCACTAGAACGTCGTTCTGTTTGGCAGCCAGGCCGAGACGCAGCCTGAATGTGAGCAGGAACTCGGAGAAGGGAAGGGAGAGAACCAGAAAGAAGGCCCGGGAGGGACCCGGGAAGCAGTGGGAGGTCTGCGTCCCGGAGCCCGGAGAGAGCCGGCCGGTTGGGCACCGGCTCCCCCCGCCCCGGCCGCCCAGAGGTCCAACAAAGGCCGGCTCCGACACGCACCCGGTCTTTTGTGGGGAGAGAAACACAAAGAAGAGGGAAAAACACGGAGGAGGCCCACAGCACCAGTACGCGGAGGCCAGCCAGGAACTCCCGCAGCCGGGGCCCATTAGCCTCGACAAGTGAGCACTCCATTCCCCAGGAAAGGACCCCAGTTTCGCGCGCCGGTGGGAACCGCGGTGCCTGGGACCCGTCCAAGACGTCTACCGCGGGGCTCGGGACGCAGGACCCGGACAAGTGCTGGGGACGCCTCCAGGACGCACCCGGGCAAGTTCGGGCAGCGGGATGTAATTTCTGGTTATTCCTGGGAGAGGGTGGGGAGGCACAGAAGATACAGCGAGAGGTACTGAGCATCCGATTGGCACCAGGGCTTAGGGAGCCCAAAGGGAACACAAACTTCCCCCACTTCCCAAGCTACTCTGGCGAAAGGAGGATGTTTGGACGAGGCCGCCGATTGAAGAAGGGGCTAGCAGCAGCACAGAGCAGCAGCCTGTGCTCCCTGCGTGGGGAGTGAGGACAGCGAGGTGCCACTGCACAGCCCCAGAACATCCACGGCCGCCTAGGCCAGGTGGTGAGGGACAGGCTAGGGCCTGGAGCGTCCTACGACCGTGCATCCACGCGGAAACCTGGCTAGCAAGCCAGCTCTCCTGCCTTCGGACTCTGCCTTCCAGGTCCTAGACTCGCGCTGTGCCAGGACGGGCCCCTCGACTTTCACCCCTGACTCCCAACTCCAGTCACTGGACCGAGTGTGCAAAGAACCTCAGACCGCGTGCTCCCACCGCCGCAGGCCAGACGCAGGACAGACACCAGTGGGCAGCAACGAAAAAGGAAACAGCGTTCCGGGACACGTGCCGGCGGCTGGACTAACCTCAGCGGCTGCAACCAAGGCGCGAGCACGCTGCGCCTGCTGCTGTTTATTAGCTACACTGGCAGGCGCACAACTCCACGCCCCAGCTGGTGGCCCCACAGCGCTCACCTCCACACAAATCCTCCCTGTGGTTGGCAGGGTAGGCCTGAAGGAGGCATCTTCAAATGCCGAGCCCTTTCTGATCCCCACCCCCGCTCCCTGCGTCGTCCGTGTGACAGATTCTACTAATTGAACGGTTATGGGTCATCCTTGTAACCGTTGGACGACATAACACCACGCTTCAGTTCTTCATGTTTTAAATACATATTTAACGGATGGCTGCAGAGCCAGCTGGGAAACACGCGGATTGAAAAATAATGCTCCAGAAGGCACGAGACTGGGGCGAAGGCAAGAGCCGGCTGGGCTGCTAGCGTAGACCTCAGAGGGAGACGTATCTAGAACTAGGGGCAAAAACGTGGGTTTCTTTCTGTATTTGTTTATTTTGTAAGTTTGCTACTTGAAGACCAATTATTTACTATGCTTATTTGTTTGCTTGTTTTAAAAATCGTACTTGCACATTAAAAGCTCCCCAGCGCGGAAGCAACCCGAAGATCCTCACACTCCCTAGGAGACTGTGTGACTGTATGCGCGAGCTCTCAGTGTCAAGCGCTAGCATTCGAAATCTGCAGAAACAAATTTCTGAATTCGAAATGTACGGGTGTGGGAAATTCAGCTCGGGGAACAAGTTATAGGTGGGGGAGACAGGCGGCTGGCTGCCTGTACTGTAAGGAACTGCCAACGCCAGCATCTGTAGGGCTGCTCTGTAAAGGCTTAGCAATTTTTTCTGTAGGCTTGCTGCAGTCAGTCTTGAGTTTTTCCATCTGTAAAATGGGTGAATGCATCCATACCTGTTACCTCAGTGAGGTGCTTCTCCAGTTGGGGCTTAATTCCTCATCGTTAAGAGTTTTCAGGTTTCAGAGCCAGGCTGCAATCAGGAAAACGTGTCCCAACACGGTCGCGAGGGGTTTGATCTCGCTCTCGGGCCCACAGCATGGAGAAGCCTTGCCCAGGCCTGAGGCTTCTCTTTGCAGTTCCAGAAAGCAGGTGACTGGGGCGGAAGGCTCTTTACTAAGCTTTTACAGCTCTTTGCTAAGCTTTTACAGTACCTGCTTGGACTACAGATGCCAGCATTGCCCCTGCCCCAAGGCGTGTGAGGATCACAAAGACGATGCTGAAATTTACTATCATCCGGCTCCCCTGCTAATAAGTGGAGGGGTGTTTAAGTACAGTCACCACTCTGTCCTTGTGCTGGTGCAGTTACTGTACGGAAATAACCCGTCCCTGTACCCACACCATCCTCAACCTAAAGGAGAGTTGTGATTTCTTTTAAGACTTTTCTGGAGTCCGTCCCCTCCTGGCTTGCCCGCCCTCTGCCCCTCAAGGCCCTGCCCCCAGCTGGGGGCGCTACCGGCCGCCCGCGGAGCTGCAGCCACAGCAACCTCCTATAGGCGCAAGGAGAGCGCTAAGAAAGTGAGGACTTTGTGCCTGGACATGGTTCACATTTGGGGCCCCAAATGCCCGCGTGTTGATGAAACCCGTGAGATGGAAACAGGGGGTGAGAAACCAGAGAGAGGAAGAGCTAGTGAGGAGACTCCAGCCCCGGATCCTGGGTCCCAGGGTTATCCGCGCGCATCCCAAAAGCTGCGGCTGCGTGCGGCATCAGGTTAGATTGTTAGACTCTGCAGGGTCCCCGTCCCATCCCATCCCCCAGCCTGACTCCGTTGTGGCCGTATTTTTACAGAAATTTCACTATGTTCCCTTTCTCCCTGGGTCCCCAGCTTGCTCAGCCCTCTCTCCATCCCCCTGGAGCCCGCCCTTCTCCTCCCCCTAGCCTCTCACTGCCTCCTTGGGTCCCTCCTCCAGTCCCTCCCCAAGAATCTCCCGGCACAGGCACCCATTGGTTGTGCGCTGGAAGGAGGCGTGTGCCGGGCCTGGCAAGTTTCATTGAGCGGAATTAGCCCGGATGACGTCAGCTTCCCAGCCCCCCGGCGGGCCCAGCTCATTGGCGCTGCAGCCCCTCCAGGATTCTCACATTGTTCCCCGCCCCCGCCCCGGCCACCGCTGCCGCCGTCGCCGCTGCCACCGGGCTATAAAACCGGCAGAGCCTGGAAAGGTGCGGATGCTTATTATAGACCGACGCGACACCAGCGCCTAGTGCCAGGTTCTCCGCTGAGGCTTTTAGGAGCGAGCTCCTCAAAACGCATCCACAGTAAGTGTCCCCGCCCCCAGCAGCCCCAGCCTAAATCCCAGGGACCGAAGCTTCTCAACTCGGCTGTGACCCAGAATGCTCCGATGCCGGGAGTCTGGGTCCCTCCACTGCGGGCCAGTACTCCAGAACGACTTTGCTGTTCCGTCCTTCCCACACTCACCTCTGCATTCCCCTCGCCAAAAGCGAGAAGTCCGGGCGACCAAAGCTCCTACTGCCCAAGCCCCAGTCAGCTGGTGAGCCCCCGTGGTCTCCGGACGCAGCGCGTGGAATCCGGGCCCCAGGCCGGTGCTGGGTGCCTGTGCGTATGCATGTGTTTGCTGCGCGGTGTCGACGGAGATGAGGTGGATCCGTTTAAGGAACCAAATCATTAGTTCCCTATTTAGCTCTTCACCCTCCCCAAAGAAAGGCCCTCACTTCCCACTAGTTTATTCCGGCCCGGGAGGCTCAGCTTTCCCATTCCTAACTGAAAGCATGAAGCCTCTAGAATGCCACCCGTACCGCGAGGGTCACCAACGCTCCCTGAAATAACCTGTTGCATGAGAGCGCAGGGGAGATGAAGAGAACTTAATTGTAGGTACGCGCGTGCCGCTAAAAGGAAGGCTAGAGAGGTAGTAGCGAGGGGGACCAGAAGCCACGCGCCACCTGTGTCTGGCCCCCGCGCTGCGGTACTGCGGTGCAGGCGGGAGCAGCTTTTCCGTCTCACTCACTGATCTCTCTCTCTCTCTCTCTCTCTCTCTCTCTCTCTCTCTCTCTCTCTCTCTCTCTCTCTCTCTCTCTCTCTCTCTCGTCTCTCTCTCTCCTCCTCCTCTCCTGAAGTTTTCGGGTCCCAGGGAAGGAAACCCCCGTGAAAGCTGCGACGACTATCCTTCCCCGGGGCCATGGACTCGGACGCCAGCCTGGTGTCCAGCCGCCCGTCGTCGCCAGAGCCCGATGACCTTTTTCTGCCGGCCCGGAGTAAGGGCAGCAGCGGCAGCGCCTTCACTGGGGGCACCGTGTCCTCGTCCACGCCGAGCGACTGCCCGCCGGAGCTGAGCGCTGAGCTGCGCGGCGCTATGGGCTCCGCAGGCGTGCATCCTGGGGACAAGCTAGGAGGCAGTGGCTTCAAGTCATCCTCGTCCAGCACCTCGTCGTCCACCTCGTCGGCGGCCGCATCGTCCACCAAGAAGGACAAGAAGCAAATGACGGAGCCGGAGCTGCAGCAGCTTCGTCTCAAGATCAACAGCCGCGAGCGCAAGCGCATGCACGACCTCAACATCGCCATGGACGGCCTGCGCGAGGTCATGCCTTACGCGCACGGCCCTTCGGTGCGCAAGCTCTCCAAGATCGCCACGCTGCTGCTGGCGCGCAACTACATCCTCATGCTCACCAACTCGCTGGAGGAGATGAAGCGACTGGTGAGCGAGATCTACGGGGGCCATCACGCTGGCTTCCACCCGTCGGCCTGCGGCGGCCTGGCGCACTCCGCTCCCCTGCCCGCTGCCACCGCGCACCCGGCAGCCGCAGCGCATGCCGCACATCACCCCGCGGTGCACCACCCCATCCTGCCGCCCGCCGCCGCCGCGGCTGCTGCGGCCGCTGCCGCAGCGGCAGTGTCCAGCGCCTCTCTGCCCGGCTCCGGGCTGTCGTCTGTCGGCTCCATACGTCCACCGCACGGCCTGCTCAAGTCTCCGTCTGCCGCCGCCGCCGCCCCTCTGGGAGGCGGGGGCGGCGGCAGCGGGGGCAGCGGGGGCTTCCAGCACTGGGGCGGCATGCCTTGTCCTTGCAGCATGTGCCAGGTGCCACCTCCGCACCACCATGTGTCGGCCATGGGCGCCGGCAGCCTGCCGCGCCTCACCTCCGATGCCAAGTGAGCCGACCGGCGCCGGCGCGTTCTGGCGAGAGGGAAGCCCGGGGGGCGCGGGGAAGCGAGGACTGGCCGGTGCTGGGCTCGGGAGCTCTGTCACGGGGAGGGGCGCAGGGCCGTGGACTGGGGGTGGGAGATGGTGGGGACTCCTGCATCTGGGAACCCAAGCAATGGGGGCATGCACAGAGCAGTGGGGAGTGAGGGGGATGTTCGCTCCAGGACCTGATCAAGCCCTCTCTGGCTTTAATCTGCGCTGGTCCGGTAGACACCGTTTTATGAAAAGGTACTGCTATGTGCATTCCTCACTCGAACTCCGCCCGACCTCCGGGAAAAAGATTCTAAAAACTGGTTTCCCTGAGAGCCTGGCCGGACTTCCAGACTTGGCCCGGGCCTCACTTCTTGGGGGAGGAGAGCGTAAAGGGAGGGGGACATGTGGGAACTTGCTCCCCTTCCTACTTTCTTGGCCTGTGGGAGACTCCCGGTAGCCCCCTCGCAGAAGCAACCGCCTGGCCGCGCCCAGCAGGGTCGTCCCTGGCCCAAGGCCAGGGGCTGCAAGTTAGTTAGAAGCCGGCGTTTAGTACCAGAAGCACTTACGGTCATATCCAATCTCAATATCTGGGTCAACTCACACCCTCTAAGAACTGTGGCTGCTCCTTCCTGTCTCTCGTTGATTTGGGAAAATACGGTTTTCTAATAAATGTGTGGATGTTCTTTCTTCAACAGGATGAGCACGTTTACAGACATTCAGAGTAGAGCCACCTGTGGATTGGAATAACCCCGAACTGCCGATTTTAGGGGCGGGTGCATTTTAGTTATTTTAAAATAGAAACTACCCCACCGCCTCATTTTTCCTTCTCTAAGCACAAAGCGATTTGGTTATTTTGATACCTGAGGACTTAACAGAATTAAAAGGCAGTTGCTGTGAAAACAGCTTGGGTTATTTGCGGGTTCTGTTGGCTGTTTAAAAGTTTCTTTCTTGGATGTGTAAATGTATCAGTGCTGAGGTAAGTGCGCGATGCTAAGCTGTTTGCTCATGTGACTGCCAGCCCCACCTGAATCTAAGCCGGCTTTCCTCTATTTTGGTTTATTTTTACCACGTTTAACACGAATGGTAAACTCCTCCACGTCTTCCTGCGTTTGCAAACGGCCTCGGCGCTCCCTGCGTTGCACCCTGGGCTTCGTAGCGTCGCGGTGTAATATTCTTTCTCTGATCGCGCCGCCCCTCGCAGAGAGTGTATCATCTGTTTTATTTTTGTAAAAACAAAGTGCTAAATAATATTTATTACTTGTTTGGTTGCAAAAACGAAATAAATGACTGAGTGTTGAGATTTTAAATAAAATTTAAAGTGAAGTCGGGCGATTTCCATCCGTGTGCCACCCCGGAAACGGGTTGAGGACGCGATAGCTTGGGGCGGGATTTGGAGATCGTTCCCCCAGTCTGGCACTAGAGACACACATGCATTATCTTTCAAACATGTTCTGAACAAATCCTCCGGGCGTTTTCCACAACTTGCTTGTCATTTTTATTTTCCGACGCCAAACCCGGAACTGCCTTTCTCTCCGAGTACTGAGCTCGTTTATAAGCCGACATTTCCTTTCCAGAGCATCGGACTTTGGGACTTGGGGGTGAGGGCTGCGCCTTTGGCAGGGGGTCTGGGCTCCCAGGGTTCCTCTCCTGTTCTATTTTTATTTCCTTTCTGCTCAGAGGCGGTCTCCCGCCACACCCTCCCCCCGACCTTTGCATCAGCTGCGGCGGAGCCCTGGTGTTCCCAGCAAAGCGATTCCGGAGTATTTGGTGCAGAATCCCCCAACGCTTCCATCCCTTCCCAGCGATCTCCACCACCCTCCCCCATTCGCCACCTCCCACCCCGCCGCACCCCACCCCCACCCCTGCCCCTTGAACTGCAAAGGATCGGGTCCTCAGCCCCGCCTGGAGGAGCCCTGGCAGCTTGGCCTCTGTGCTCTTTCCTGGGGTCACCTCTGTCTTCCCTTGGCCATTGGGTTCTCACAATCCAAACCTGTGATGCAAATTTAGGATGTCGTTGTGAAGAGAGGTTCTGAGTGGAAATAAAAACCTTTGGCCTTCCTGGTCAAGGACCAGGCAGATCCTGTCGCAGTCTCTCCGCCCCAGGGCTGGCCTGAGAATGAGCCCCTGAAAGGACAGCAGGACAGCGGGTGCGGGCACAGTAAGAACGTCCTCTGGCCAGGGCCCTCTCTTTGACAATATTTTTGGTGTCCACTGGCCAAAGGCCCCTGGATCTGGGGGTGCAGATTTCCCTGGTCAGAACCCCATTTATTGGGTCACATTGCTGAGCCTCGCTCACCCAGGCAGGCACCCTTTGCTTAGACTTGAAGATGGCTCTGTCCCCTAGCAAGGGACAGGTGCTTCCTGGTCCTCCAGTAGACAGGACAGCAAGTGCCCAGGGATCAGGTGCTGTAGACCTAACTTTTCACCAATGGGCTTGGCTTTTTTTGAAGGCTGGGAGGGATTTGGAGAGGCTGAGTGGCTGGGGGCTGAGGAGGGGTGGAAAGCCTCCTGCCACCACCACCGCAATAGCGCCATGAGAATCCAGGAAGAAGGAAGGGCAAGGTCTAGTCGTTTTTATTCCAAAATCCCATTTGAAGTGAAACTCGCAAAGAATTCAGAACTGGGTCCAGCTGTAGCCAGGGACACACTCAAAGGGACTTCAGGAGGCTGGAACTTAGATCAGTGGGAGCTGAGAACCTGGCCAGTGGAGGTGGGGGTCTTGATGGCTGGGCAGATGTGCTGGTGTGGGCTCTGAGTGTGCTTGGTGTCTACACAGACAGTTGTTGAACGGCAATAAATCAAGTCTTTTCCTCCATCCCTGCACCCATGCTCTCAGCAGCATTTAGCCACCAGCCAGGCCAGGTGAGAGGAGGCTCTCTGAGGAAGGGGTTGTGTTCAGCCACATTTTGGGCCGTCCTCTGAACCAGGTGCTTAAACTGTGCACCCAGCTGGGGGCCTTGATCATGGTGGATGAGACTGGAGCATCTCCAGATGTGGAGGAGGAAGATATTGGCATACACAAGCGCGCACAGTGCACATCCCATGAAGCAGGTGGCTACTCGCTCCACCCTGGACTGGTGGAGGCCAAGGTGGGGGACTCAGGCCAGTGGCTGGGCTTTGATTTAGGGCAGGATAAGACTGTGTGCAACCACTTTGACTTTGGTGGGCTCTTTATCAGTACCGGGATCCTCATCAAGAGAGAGGAGGAGGGAAAGAGGTAACAGTTTCTGGGATCTGGTGCAGTCTGCCCTGGAACATCCTGGGTCCCTCTGGGGAGCATTCGTTGGGAAATTTTCAACAGGCTGGACTGCAGCTCAGCCTCCTCCCCAGCTCTACTGCGTGGCTCTGCAGTGCCTCTGGGTTTAGGAACTCACCACCCTCCAAGTCTTTGAGACTCTCCCCAACCCTCCTTAAGAACCTGGGAACTCAGCTGACCAGAGCCAAGGGGCCAGTAGGCAGAACCCAAGCCTCATCCTCTGGTCTCAGCACCCCAGGGCACTGTCCCTGGGCTCCTCACTCTCTCAGGTGGGCAGGAGCCACAGAGAAATGACACTCCCCTAGACTCTGTTGAAGAACTCACCTTTAATGCCCATGGAGTTGGAATTTGCCACCCTGGGGGCAGGCAGTGAACAGAGGGCTGAAGAAAACCCACAGAGGTGTCACACTCCCAGTGAGGCCAGGGACTCTAATGTGGCTGGAGGAAGACTTGGGTACTAGGGACACCGTGGTGATTTAGGGCTCTGACAGCCATCCACCAGGGACCTGCCCTTCTCATTCCCTGACTGGGATCAGTGAGGAGCCCCTGGGCCAAGGCATTGACTTTTAAAGCCCCCTAGATGCTCTTAAGGACAAAATACCCTAGTGGGGAAAATGTCTGTCTCCCATTGGGGCAGAATCTACCTAGCAATCTGCCTGGACTTCTATTGAGTATTCACCTTGATGCTTCCTAGAAGCTCATCTGGGAGGGGGCAAAGGAGTCCCCCTCCACCTGCCATGTCATTTTAAGTCACTCTTTCATTGCAGATTTTGTGCCTAGTATCCCCTTCCCCACACAAGCGCCCCACAGTTCCAGAAGGGGTTATAGGTCATAATAGGGGTTATTGACAAGCGCCCGACACCAAAAGTGACCATTTATTTATTGTCTCTGTAAAACTGTAAGGGAATCAGGATTAAGCCTGGCTATTCACAGCAGTGTTTGCTGCACTGGTCCCATCCTGACTAGGGAGAGGGACTTGGGACAGCATGGGTGAGCACGGCCGCTCCCTGGTTTGGAGGCTGCAGCAGCTCAGGGGCTATATTCTTGGGGCTAAACCCTAACTTCTTGTCAGCGAGGGGGCCATTCTAGGCAGGGCAGAGATGGGGATCACCCACAGCTACATCCTTACTCCCCATCTCTCCTCTAGGGCCCCAGGGATTGGCTGCTTGTCTGTGGAAGAGGGTCCCGGTGGAGGGCTGCAGGGAGGAACTGAAGAGGCAAAGCTGGGAGGAGGGAGGCAGGGCCGGGCTGAACCTCCAGGGAACTCAGAATATTAATAGGTGGAGGAGGCTGGGAGAGGAGGCAGCTAATATTGACTGAAGTTTAGCTGGGTTAAGGCAGAGCACAGAAAGCTTGAAGAGCCCCAGTTCATTCCTTTCTCTCTACAACCATTGGAGGAGGGTGCTATTATTGTCCTGTTTTACAAGTAAGGAAACTGAGGCACAGAGAGGGTAAGTGACTCGCTGAGGGGACACAGCCAGTAAATGAAGGCGGCAGGGTTGTAATCCCGGGCCCATCCCAAGGGCCAAGCGGCCCGCACTCCTGCAGTCCCCAGACTCTGGCTCAGCTGCTGCCTGGGGAATCCTCTGCTGCCACCCCCTGCTCCCCACCCCGGCCCCCTTAGGTGGCGCTCCTAGTGCTTCTCCCCACCCTGCCTCCCCATTCCTGGACCCCGTCTGTCCCCGACTCCCCCATATGGGCGGCGGGTGGGGCGCACAGGATTTAGCAATTAGCGGGCGCGGGTGAGCGCGCGGCGCGGATGGAGGAAGGGCCGGAGCAGGTGAACCGCGGCGGAGCCTCATTAGGGCGGCCCGCGCGCCCTGCAAGGGGCCGTCGTTAGTACCAGGACAGCTGGCGCCCCTGCCTGCCTGAGGCCGCAGGTGGAATCCAGGGCCGCATTCCCAGCCCAGTCGTGCCTTCCACACCTCGGGCAGTCTCTAGGAAAAGGGTCGCCAGCTGAGCCTGCTGGGACCAGAACGATACCTGAGCCAGTCCCGCGGCTGCTGCGAGTGCGCGCTCTCCTGCGGGGGACTTCAGACCCTCCTTTACAGAACGCCGAAGGTCCTGTAGATGCGCGAGCGCGCCCTCAGTTTGCAAACCCTGAAAGCGGGCGCGGTCCACCAGGAAACGATCTGGCTAGGCTCTGGGTGAGGAGGCCGCGTCTTTATCTGGGGACACGTTGCAGCTCTAGGGGAAGACTGCTCAAGGAACTCGCTCTGATCTGCGCGCTGGTGTCCTCTCTCTCCCTCGCTTCCCGGACCCACACAGGCTAAAGGGAGGCGGGTGCTGAGGGGTGGCCGGGCTCCGCAGACCCGCTCCGCACCCGCCGAGATCGAAGCAGCTGGCTTGGACCGCGCGCGGTTTTCCTTTGGCGACAGTGCGGCGTCGGTGCGGCCATAATCCGTGCACTGGTTGTGGAAAGGGTTGGGAGTCTCCCAAAAAGGAGGCACGCAGAGCTCTCCAGAACCACTTACACGCGTGTGGGGTCCAAAGAGCCGCCCCAGGGAGCACTCAGGTCCCCGCACTTGAGCCCACAATCACAGACCTGCTACCGGCTTTTGCACACCAGGCCACACACCTGAGTCCACGCTCACAGGCTCAAGCATAGGGCCTCACGCACTCGAGTTTGCGCTCACGGATCCACGCTCACCCGTGCTTGTACCCGCGAGGGCCTGCGAGCGCAAAGCAGCAGCTTTTCTGGAGGCCCTTCCTCCCTCCCGCCTGCCCGACCGAGCCCTGCTGAGCCCTGGAGGTCCTGAGACCCAGTGTCGTTGGGCGGGGAGCATCTTAGTTTACCAATTCTATCCTGGCTGACCTGAGAGCTGGGGATCTTTTAAGCCTTGCAGGCCTGGACTCGCTTTTTCCCCTGCCTTTCTTCCAGACAATCTGGCTCTCTGACACTTCTGATTTCTAGGCAAAAGTTCTGGAGCGCAGCTGCAAGGGCCACGGGTGCAATGCAGGGCAAACAGGACCACGAGCAACTTAGGATGCTCAGATTTGGCAGCAGAAGCTTGTTTTTCAGAGCAGGGCTGGAGGGGCCTCTCTGAAGCTCCGAACCTGTTTCCTC